TCACCTTCTAGAGCTGCAGTTAAGAACCACAGGTCGTGTTCTCTAGGGTTGGAAGATCCTTTGCCTTGTTTTGTAGGTGCTGTACAGCCTGGAGGTAATAAATTAAAGTGCTTAAAATGTATCCGTGCACGGACCCTTTTATGGGTATGTTATTTCCACAAAATAGTGTATGAAATCAAGTATGAAGCAAGAGGTAAGATAATATAGGGCAGCATCATTTTGGTGTTTGTCCCACTAGAAATTTATTCTTAACAGCGTGATACAACAACTATAATATAAATTGTGTTACGTTGCGTAACAGTTGTCTTTAAAGTTTTCCAGTATCAAGTGAATTTAAGCCAACTCTTAGTTATTATACTGTGTAGACAATATGAAGTGGTTGTCTAAATAGATAAAAAAGACATTATTGCAAAAGTTTTAAAAAAGGAGAAATCCTCATAACTTTTTAATGAAATTCCTATTCCACATACATTTGGGTGTTTTTCACTTGAAAAGTAAAATGTTAAAATAAAGAATAAAGGGAGGTATTGTTTTCAAAGCTTTGAGGATTTTTATAAGAATTTAAAATTACATAATTTTCATTTTCCAGTATAGAATATGTAATTTGTATATTCTAAGATGACGTGCATATTCCAGTTCACAGCTTTAAAATCGTTTCTCTCAAATCCAGAAACAGTAGGGAGGCTACCATGGGGCCTACTTAACATCTCCACGGCTTTGCTTCTGTTTCACGTGTGTGTGTTTTTATACTCCCAACTAGTGTATAGGCTTTTGGAAAGGAAGGGCTGAGTCATTCTTTACTGTCTTTTTCCAGTCTTACTGAGATACCATTGACATACATCATTGCATTAGTCCAAAGTATACAGCATAATGATTTGATACGTGTATGTGTTACAAAGGGGTTACCATGGCAAGTTTAATTAACCGCAGGCGCCTCGAGTAATCCTGATATTTTTCTTCTGATAAGAACTTTAAAGATCTACTCTTAGCAGCTTTCAAATACACAATACAGCGTTGTAAACTGTAGTCACCGTGCTAAACATTACACGCCCAGGACTTATTGATCTTATAACTGAAAGTTTGTACCTTTTGACCAGCTTTACCCATTTCCCCTGTCCCCCCACCGCCACCTCTGGCAGCGGCCCACCTGCTCTCTGTGTATACGACTCCAGTTATTGTTTTTAGCTTCCACATATAAGCGGCATCGTGCTGGATTTATCTCTCTCTTTTCNATACGACTCCAGTTATTGTTTTTAGCTTCCACATATAAGCGGCATCGTGCAGGATTTATCTCTCTCTTTTCTGTGTGTGTGTGTGTGTGTGTGTGTGTAGTCTTTCGGGTTTTCTATATATAATATCATGTTATCTGCAAATGGAGATGAATTTACTTCTTCCTTTCCAATTCGGATGCCTTTTATTTCGTTTCTTGCCTAAATGTTGAGGCTGTGACCACCAGTTCTACGACGAATAGAAGTGGTGAGAGTCTGTTTCCTTGCGTTGTTCCCCATCTTTGAGGAAAAGCTTTCGGCTTTTTACTATTGAGTGTGTCATTAGCTATGGGCTTGTCATATATGCCCTGACGTACGTTCCCTCTATACCCAGTTTTTTTTAGAGTTGTTACCATAACTGGATGATGAATTCTGCCAAATGCTTCTTTGCATCTCTTGAGATGATCGTATGGTTTTTACCCTTCAACTTGTTGATGTGATGCATCACGCACGCCGGTTGATTTGTGGATGTTGAACCATCTTTGTATACTTGGAATAAATCCCACTTGATTATGGTGTATAATTTTTTTAATGTATCGTTGAATTCAGTCTGCTAGTATTTTCTTGAAGGTTTTTGCATCTATATTTACAGGGATATTGGCCTGTAATTCTTTTCTTGTAATGTTTTTGTCTGGCTCTGGTATCAGGATAATACCGACCTAGTAAAATGAGTTTGGAAGTGCTCCCTTCTCTTCGGTTTTCTGTGAGAGTTTGAGAAGGATTGTTATTAAATTTCTCTGAGTGTTTGGTAGAATTTACCAGTGAAGCCGTCTGGTCCTGGACTTTGGTTTGTTGATTCCTGAGTCAATCTCCTTACTAGTAGTTGGTCTGTTTAGATTTTCTCTTTTTTTTCTGATTCGGCCTTGGTAGATGATATGTTTCTAGGAATTTATCCATTTCTTCTAGGTTGTCCAATTTGTTGGCGTTTAATTGTTCATAGTAGTTTTTTATGATGGTTGGTATTTATTTGAGTCATCTCTTTTTCTCGGTCAGTGACATCTGCTCTTTTCCAAATATATATGAACAGCGAAACTGACCGCATCACAGCTTTAATTTAATGGCTTCTGGTTAACACAAGCCAATTACGGTGATACCGCTCTCCCTGCTGGAGGTGGGCTGAGAGCTAGACATGCGACCCGGTTCTGTCCAGTGAAATCTGTGGGTCATATGCCGGGAGACGTCTGGGCAAGATCACCTCTCTTAAAAAAAAAAGAAGATAAATGAAAAGATGGTTTGCTGACTCCTAGAGCCACCGCATTAGGAAAGTTTTAATTGACTTCATGTTGCAGTAACTGTTTAACTTAGAGTTCAATGGCTGATTAAATATACCTTTTTAAATAAGGGGAGGATCATGGTTTAATGATTTAAAAACTATCCCAGAGTATATTCAGAAACCACATAAAATCCGACTGTTGTTTTTTGTTACTTTAAAAAAAAATACGAACAGGGATTTATTTGTCTCAGGCATCAAGATAATTGGAGATGGATGCTTAGCGATGTTTCACATACCCAGGCTCTTCCTGTTTTTCTGCTTCTCCAGTCTTAGCTTGCTCTCTCTTGCTACAAGCTGGCACTGCACCTCCCGGGGAGGGAAGGGAAGGCCCCTGGGCACAGGGGGTTACCAGCTGGCCACTGCGCCTCCAGGGGAGGGAGGGGAAGGCCCTTGGGCACAGGGGGTTACCAGCTGGCCACTGCACCTCCCGGGGAGGGAGGGGAAGGCCCCTGGGCGCAGGGGGTTACCAGCTGGCCACTGCACCTCCCGGGGAGGGAGGGGAAGGCCCCTGGGCGCAGGGGGTTACCAGCTGGCCACTGCACCTCCCGGGGAGGGAGGGGAAGGCCCCTGGGCGCAGGGGGTTACCAGCTGGCCACTGCACCTCCCGGGGAGGGAGGGGAAGGCCCCTGGGCGCAGGGGGTTACCAGCTGGCCACTGCACCTCCCGGGGAGGGAGGGGAAGGCCCCTGGGCGCAGGGGGTTACCAGCTGGCCACTGCACCTCCCGGGGAGGGAGGGGAAGGCCCCTGGGCGCAGGGGGTTACCAGCTGGCCACTGCACCTCCCGGGGAGGGAGGGGAAGGCCCCTGGGCGCAGGGGGTTACCAGCTGGCCACTGCACCTCCCGGGGAGGGAGGGGAAGGCCCCTGGGCGCAGGGGGTTACCAGCTGGCCACTGCACCTCCCGGGGAGGGAGGGGAAGGCCCCTGGGCGCAGGGGGTTACCAGCTGGCCACTGCACCTCCCGGGGAGGGAGGGGAAGGCCCCTGGGCACAGGGGGTTACCAGCTGGCCACTGCACCTCCTGGGGAAGGAGGGGATGGCCCTTGGGCACTGGGGCTGCCAGTGGAGTCTGCTCACTTTTGTCAGGAAAACGAGCTTTTCTTGAAGCCCCACTTTGAAATCCGGGATATTGTGTTTTGTTGGCAACTGCTCGCAGTGTATCTATTTAACCTATCCTCTCTTCTCAAATTTAGCTTCAACTATATTAATTCGGTAACTTTGCTACTTTCTGCTCATGTTTAATAAATTAAAGTTAGGATGTTATACTCACTAGGTAAGGCATTCAGTTTTCTTTTTCCAAAGTTAGCGCTTCTGAGCAAATGTGTAAATTTGTGCTAAGTCCATACAAATTAATATTTTTCATTTGAACCAGGCATTGTAATAATTTTAAAATGAGTTTTCCAGTTCTTATGTGAAGTTTTCCTGCCTGAGAAGAACAGAAGACCTATTGAACATTTGAGTGAACTCCATTATAAGAATTGTAATACAAACTATCTTTTTTCAGGGTCCCTCTTGAGAAAGGAGATTCATAGTCCATTTAAAAGAAAAACTGAACAGTGTTTAAATTTAGTGTCTGATACTGCATTCAGGGTTTTATCTGCACAGACTGGGCTGTTCTTAAATTGTAAACTGAACCCTGTTTCCTGACATCCCCTCCTGCCCTCACTTCTGTCCTGTTCACAGACGTGTTGATTCTCAGTCATTGAGATAAATCATGGAGGTAAAAATTCAAAGGATAACTTAAGAGTGAAAGAAAATGTGGTTTCAAATTAACTGCTGGAGGTGGCGATGCCTGCTGTAGACAAGGTGGAGCCGTGCCTTAGGCGGGGACAGACCCAGACTAGCTCGGGGCAGGGAGTGGCCCCCCGATGGCGACGCTGGAGGTGGAGTGGGGGGAGCGCAGCCCTCGGTCTTTGCCGATCGATGGATTCGGCCTTGATCCACAGTGCGCCGCGTTTTAGGGATCAGAGCTAGGGTAGGTGTGGAAAAATGGTTTCTGACACTGGTAAGCGGAATGCTGGTTTCAGTTCAACTCCGTAACTGAAGAAAATAAATGAACTTTTTATTGTGGTTTACCGACAACATTTTTACCTACTGTGGCTAGAGAGGCCACAGATCATGAGGGGGCAGATGAAGGATGTATGCTTCAGGATTATTTTGGGGGGGAAAAACCTAAATAAGCTATTTTACTAATATTTATCGCTCCCATTTTTATGCTGTATAACAGGATCTCTCTTAGCGTGTGAGAGTATGTGTTATTTTTCCTGAAATTTCTGTGCAGGAGAGGAGTGGGAAGCCAGATTAGTTTATTTCTGCGTCTGAACTAGAGGAGAAGAGACTCTACCGGCTACACTGCCACAACGTTTTTAATCCAGTTCTTTTAAAGTTATGTACAATGCTTGTGGTCTGTACTGCGTGCTGAGGCTACTCGGAGACGGTGACCAGATTCTTAATCATTGTCAGGAAACTGCATTCAGAGAATGAGAAGAACACCCCCACTGGATGAACTGCAGCCACCACCGTATCAGGATGACAGTGGTTCTCCCCATCTCTCATGTACGCCCTCAGAAATTGGGGACAGTAAATGTGAATTTTCCCACTGCAGCAACAGTCCGAGATGCTCCTATAACAAGTGCCCGAGTGAAGGAAGCACAGGTCATGAAATAGAAAGTTTTCATAATAAAGGATATGAAGAAGATGTTCCGAGTGACAGCACTGCGGTCCTGAGCCCTGAAGTAAGTAAAAGCACGTAGAAGTTTTTAAGTGAATGTTATTTGGAGACTAATAATCCTGTGCTTCTCCTCTTGGTAAGAAGGTTTTATCGCCATCCTGTCCTGTGTGGCTTATCCTACCAGTTTCTATCCTCGATCTAATGCTTGTGCAGGCAACTGACCAGGGGTGTCCCGGCCGCTCTGCAGCCCCCCCCCAAGGAAGACGGGTAGCTAAAAATGAGAGCAATGCACAAAATGTTGAAAAATTAACTTCCCCCAGGTTTCAACCGCAAGATAGATTTTTAAAGCATTTTAGATAAAACATTCTGGAATTATTTGCCTGTTTCTTTCATAGTGAGGTTTCTATTTGTTTGTGTCTCTTTAAAAATTATTTTATTTTGGATATTTTTGTATTGGGAGGCTGCCCATTAATATTTTTGCAAAAATAACGTTTTTGCATTTTCATATCACAGAATACGGAAGAGATAGGTCATGAAATTTGAATTCATGGCATCACGCATTCAGAGTGGCCAGTTGGTGGTCGTGTTTTAAGTTATTTCCTCTTTTGGAGCAAAAATGAGAAAATGACACCAAAAGTAGGGGTATTACACATTTGAAGCCTTCCCATGCTCTAAAAAGAATTTTTAAAAATATTTCTATAAAGATGAAAATTATAAAGGTAATCTGGAGGGTTTCATAAGGTAGTATTTGCTTTTAAGTTTTTCTTTCTTTTAGATTGCAAATTTTTACAACTTCTGTCCTAGACAACATTTGGTAAAGCTGTAGTGTCACAGGTTTTCTCTGCATTTCTCTAATGGAACACATGGGTGACAGAGCTGTCCCCTCAGAGATGAAATGATCATCGCTCGGGCTTCCCATCCCCTTCCATGGGTAATACTCATTGCTCTGTCATATTTTCTGTTTCTTCTCTTGAACATATCTTACAAGTTATCAACTCAGTTACTACCTATAGTTAACAACATCTTCAGCATCCTGCCGGTCTCTCTAGCTGTTTTGTTATTTAGTATCTATAGTTACCACAGCCCGTGAGTTTTCCCAGATTTCAGAAGCCGCTGACTTGCTCTCTGTGTTGACACCTCTTTCGAGCCCCCTCTGTCCTGCTTGGTGGTGTGTCTTCCATAGAATCGACTACATTCAAACAGTAGAGCAAATGCACATTACATAAATTTTTAGATGCTAATAGCCCTACGTTAGTACAAAGTTCACTCTTGTGTTTTTTAAGTTTATTTTACTTCCCACTATCCCTTTAATGGGTATTCATCAAATATAAAATCTTCACTTTCCTGTGGTTTAATTCAGGGTATAGCTCTCCTAGAGCCTCTCCGCGTACACTGCTGAGCTGGGGAAGGACTGAGGCTTCAGGAGGGTCTCTGCTGATGACCTTTTGCTGGCTGAGGACTGTTCAGACCTTTAAGACCCCTTGAAAGGAAGGGTTCTTTTCTAATTGCCTATTTGCAGAATACAAATGTGGGCTTCATCTGTAAGGTCCCACTTTATTAACCCTTGGATTCATGAGAATTGTCGCAACGCCCAGAAAAAAATTAGGGAGAAATTCAGAAATAACTATCTAGAACCTTACAAAAATTCTTATTGCCTTGAAAATAGCTGTCTTGACACTATTTTAGAAAATATTTAATTGAAATTTCAAAGCCCCGTAATTAATCATCTTTAATTACCATTATGAAATGGCATGCATTAAAACATTTTGCTCTAAACTGTAAATTTTTTTACAGAGTAAGAATACACTCACTCTGATTGAATTATATTGTATAAAAACAATTCTTCTCTGAGACTTTGTTCCCTCTCCCAAGGATTGTTCTTCATTTGTCATCTTTTTTTCCATACATGTTACCAAGTGCGTCACGGTAGGTAGACATGTAACATTAATAAGGTCAAAAACTTGTGTCTTTTTGGTTCTCTGCTGCATCCCTCCCACCTAAACTAGGGCTTGGCACGTAGTAAGTGTAATGGTTAGGATTAGTATGAAGCTGTTATAACCAAGAGTCAAATGCAGTAGGTAAAACCCAGAGATCACTCATGGGTGAGTAGGTGACTTTGCTCTACAATGTCACTCAGGGGCCTGGTTCTTTCTTCTTCTTTTTTTTTTTTAAATATATCTTTATTGATTTCAGAGCGAGGAAGGGAGAGGGAGAGAGAAAGAGAAACATCAATGATAGAGAGTCATTGATCAGCTGCCTGCTGCACCCCCCTCTCCCCCTTGCTAAGGATCAGGCCCATGACCCAGGCATGTGCCCTGACCGGGAATTGAACCTCAATCTCCTGGATCCTAGGTCCATGCTCAGCCACTGAGCCACGCCAGTTGGGGCGGTTCCTTCTTTTTTGTCGCTCTGTCATCCCTAGGGTGTCGTTCCAGTCCACATGGCCCACCCTGACCCACGCATCCTGTCTCAGAGCCTGCTCTTCTGTGGGGAGTGTGGGAGAGAAGGGAAGTCGGGGCACATCATCGCTTCTGCAAACTTGATCGGGATGTTTCCTGCATCACCTCTGTTTACTGCCCGTTGGCCAAAGCTGAGTCTCGTGGTCAGACCAGCCATAAGGAAACTTTAGCCTTACAGTCCTTTGCTAGACAGTGTGTCTCTAAAAAGACAAGACTGGGAGTCAGTAGTAGTGACTACTAAATAAAAGCTCAGAAAATTTTAGAAAATTATAAAATTGGTCCACATTTTAAAATGAAAAACATTTAATATTTATTAAAATACTTGAAGAGGCAGGAGGTAGAGTTGAAAGGTCAGAGACCCGGGTTTGACACTGTCAATAACTAGCTGAAAACTCTGTTCACATTCCAGATAGTTACACTGGCAGGAATCTGAGACAATTCCAGGTAAAATGGGTATAATTTCTTTTAACTGCATAATTAAAATGAGCAGATTTGGTCTGTCTTGAACTTTTGAAATATGTATCGTTCTGCCATTTTCAAGAGTAATTAGTGTCAGAAATAATATGTTGTTTTAAATTCTGATTAAAAAGTAAATAGTGTATGTTACCGAAAAGAAGTATTTGGCTGCAGATATTTTGAGGCCTTTTGTTTATACTTTCCCATTTCCTCTTTCCATTGATTTTCAAGCCTAAACGTGTTTACATCCTGTTACAGATGGGGGCATTTTAGAACAAACTCTGAAAACGGAACCACTCTTTTTAATAGCATTATACTTTTATTTATGTTCTCTCTCCAGCCTGATGTTGAGCTGTCAGTTGCATCGTTTATAATGTTGAAAGTCAAATTCAGTCGTTTCCTTCAACAGGATCAGAGATACACATTGAAGTATAAATTTTCAGTTCTCATTATAAAAGCATATCCCAACTTTCTAAAAATTGTAATGACGAATATTAAATTCTCTTATATGAGTTTTTGAGTTTAACATACCACTTATATACTACTATGGCCTGTAAAGTAGCTTCTGATTGTAGTAAACTGTTGGTTAGTATCACTTGCTTTGTGGTAGCCAATCAGAACAGTTCCCACATTCTCCCTCCTAAGTAGTACCAGGTATTTATTTACATGCCAGATTAAATAATAGAGTTAAAACTGAAAACATTTAAATTTGCTTTTCTTAGGATATGTCAGCTCAAGGATCATCTTCACAGCTTCCTAAACCCTTTGATCCTGAGCCAGAAGCTAAATATGGCACACTGGATGTGACTTTTGAGTATGACTCACAAGAACAGAAGCTCCTGGTAACAGTGACAGCTGTCACAGATATCCCAACATATAACAGGACAGGTGGCAACTCATGGCAAGTACACCTTGTTCTTCTACCTATAAAGAAACAGAGAGCAAAAACCAGCATCCAGAGAGGACCATGCCCTGTCTTCACAGAAACATTCAAATTTAACCATGTTGAATCTGAGATGATTGGAAATTACGCAGTTCGATTTAGACTGTATGGTGTACATCGCATGAAAAAAGAAAAGATTGTGGGGGAAAAGATTTTTTATTTAACCAAATTGAATCTTCAAGGGAAAATGTCATTACCTGTGATATTGGAACCTTCTTACAATCATTCTGTGAGTATCTGGTCAAATAGCCCAAATACACTTTAAGTTCATGGTATATGATATGCAGTTTTAGTACGACAAACCCAGCAACCTTGTCATTTTATTTTTTGCATAGTAATCATACCTTCACAAAATTTCTAAGCCCTGAATAGGTAGGTATAACTTTTCCTCATCTATAAAAGTGACCCATGAAGATTATATATGATTTTTTTCAATGTATTTTATCTTTCACAGACTCTAGCCCAGTGTCTTAAACATTTCTGTTAACTGTGTTAACATTTATTAGATGGTTGATTATGACATCATCTGAACTCCTTAGAGAACAGATTGTTTTCTTTTCAGGTTAAAATTAGGTGATACATGAAGAACTGTCTAGCTCCATATCTTCTATGATATTATTTGCTCGTATAGAGTATGTACGGCTTCCTAGGTCATGATATTTCCAGAGCGGCTATGAGATAATTGTTAAAGCTTCAAAGGCATGGCCTCGTTATATTTTCCACCTTTTTATACAAAGATTTTGAGTATTTCTGGAAGAATACTTAAATTTAGTGCCGTCATTGGTTCTCCCTTTTCTCTTTTTTCCTCCAGGTTTTGATCACATACAAGTCTTTCTCTCTCCAGATTTTTAACTAAATTTCCTACAAGCCATTGCAGGTCGCTAGAGAGTTGCATTGTTTATTTAAACCAGGGAGATGCATTATGCCACACAGTTACTTAGATTATGAGAAAATCTGTGATATGCTGTAAATGTAAATTATGAGTTATATTTATTAATTTCTGTTATATTGACTAAAATGTATTTCTATAATATAAATACACAGATTTCAGAATAGATTTATATTTTAAAATAATGGTACCATATTTTAGGATTGTTTTTAAACTTCTAAAAGTGTAAGCATAAGTCCAAGTCTAAGAAAAGAGTCTCATTGAATTTGTACCATGCAGCATTTGATCTTACAGGACTGTCATTCACAGTAGAATCCCATACCATTTTAGCTACTGATCACTCAGACCAAATAATGAGAATTAAGAATGGCAGAAGATTTAATTGGTCTTTACTTTTTTCTCTCCTTTAATAAGTTGCTGTTTTTATTTTGAAAAAGCATTTCCTGAAATTGTCAAGTCTGAAGTTTAAAATTATAACAAATTATTAATTTCCCTACTAAGAACTATTGTCCTATAAACCCATAGTATATTTACTATCACCTTTTGGTGTTTAAATTTTTAAATGCTAGAAGTGTTTGTGGCAGATAACTTTTTTAGTTACATAGGTCCATAAGTAGGAAGAATTTTGTGCAGGAGTTGTGCTTAATGGACTGTATAAGAGCATATGATTTGGATAAGATTTTGGACTTTGATTTAAGATGATGAGATTTAGATTCAAGTGTAGGGACTTTTTACTTTGAACTGATAATGTACTAGGATGAGACTTTTAGGAACCTTGGACTGGGGTGACTCCATTTTACATGTCTGGTGTATGTGAATCACGGGGGCCAGAGGGCAGACTGTGGTAGGTGTAATTCTAAGGTGGTCCTCATGACCTTCATTCTCTGGTATTACTCCTGTGATTATTTTATGTTACATGGCAAAGCGATTTTAAAGATGTAATTAAGGTTACCAGTCAGTTGACATTAAGATAATGTATTATATGGGTGGACCTAACTCAGTTACATGAACCCTTTAAAAGCAAAGAGTTTTCTCTGATTGGTAGCAGAAAAAAATAGATTTAAAACATGAGTGAGATTCAACACGAAGTTCTCTGTTGCTGAGATGGAGTGGGTTGTGGTAGAAAGATCTTAGAGCAGCCCCTAGGAGCTGAGAGGGAGGCGTCTAAGAGCTCTGGCCAACTACCAGCAAGAATGCAGACACCTCAGTTCTGCAACTGCAAGGAACTGAATTTGGCCAACACCTGAGTAAACTTGGAAGCATCTTCCTCCCCCAGAGCCTCCAGATAAGAGCCCAGCTGAGCCAACACCTTAACCAAAGCCTCGTCAGACCCTTTACAGAGAACCCAGTTGAACCCACCCAGACTTCTGACCTACAGAAACAGTGAGATGATAAATGGGTATTTTTAAACCTATGAAGTTTGAAATAACTTATTAGACTTCAGTAGAAAACTAATAACAGCCCACAGGGCCTAAAATATTACTATCTAGCTCTTAACAGAAAAAGTTTGCTGACCTCTGCTCTAGGAATTGAAATTGAGTATGACATGTGCAAACTTTGGTTGAGGTAAATACTCAGATAACATTCTGTACATCTGCTTTCACCTTGGTGGGATGTTCTTTGCCAGTTCATGAAGCCTCCAGAAAATACCTTTATGTAACGATAAACGTATGTAAGTCGGATCTGCAGACATTCCCCTTTTGTTCTCTTTCTTCATGGCTGCTCCCTCAGCATAGACGAGTTAACGGAGAAACATCATTTATTTAGAAGATAATCTCTGTGAGGAAGAAATAATTTACTCAATGTTATTTTATCCCATTAAATTTATATAAAGTAAAATGGATTTTTAAAATAAAGAGCTACACTTTGATCCCATTTTTAAATAAAAATATTTCTATTTCTATTTGTTACATACTCATAGAATGATGTCTGCAAGATGTTTACTTAATACCAATTTATGTGCAGTAAAGTTTAAGGTATTTTTTTTTTACTTCTGCCTTTGTTTACTTCTGTGTTACTTGCATGATTTAGGATACTCATTTGTCAGTTTAAAGAAAAAAATAGAGAGTCAGAAAAGGTCAGGGAATTTGGGCTCCGGTCAGTTTGGTGAAGATGAATAAATAGATGAGTTTCTAGAGACATTTTTTTCAGTGTGAGCAAAGGGGTGAGAGAGATAAGGCTTAATGGAAACTTAAGTTTTCTTAAGTTCTCATGAGAAGGTTCTTAATAGGTGTCTAGATGTCTATATTTCATTAAATTTGATTCCATATTATATTTCTATGTAAATGCATAGAAGTTATAGGAAGTAGACATGGGAGTGGGTGGGATTGTCTCAGGAGTGAGAAGAGAAGATCCTCAAGAACCTCTGGATTTAAAGATTGGAGAAAGGGAGGGATAAGGTAGGAAGAAATGTAGTAAAATATCACAAAAACCAAGAGTAAAATTGTGAAGGGAGATATAATCAACTTTGTCAAATGCTGCCAATGGATCCAGTATTGAAAACGGTCCATTGTGTTTAGGATATGGAGGGAATGGGTAGCCCTAGAAGGACCAGTTTTGGTGGGGTACAGGGACTGGATTCCAAACCAGACTGGCAATCATGTAGACAACTTTTCTACCAAGTTTGGCTGTGAAAACAGGAAGAGAGGACAGTATTTGGAAAGTGGGGGTTCCGAAAAGATGTTTTTGAGGTTAGGAGAGACTTGGGCATGCTTAAATACTATGCAAATGATACAATAAGATGGAGTGTAAGCTATTCCAAGTATAAGATGGAGAGCTAATTGAAGAAAGATATTAATTGATGTGTCTGGGATGAACAGAAAGAAGCAAAAATGTTTTCAAGAGATTTATTTAAATTGTGGACCATGAAATCTAAGTGGAATAAAGAGAGAAGTGAAGCTACAAAGGGACAGATAAGAGGAAATAAGAAGGTTAGTGGACTGAAAGTCCCAAAGATATCAAAGAACAGATATGAGAGGAGTAGTTGAGTAAGAAATATGGGAAGTTAGGGGACTATGGTTAGAAAGGAGAATGTTTTCATTTAACGTGATGGGATAACCAGGGTCCACAGTGTGATGGTGGAAATGGGCATTAGATGAAGTAGAAGGTAAAATCACTGGAGATGGATAAGTTGGTCAAGAGAGGCCAGGTCCTTGGGTGGGTTGTCCACATGGATATCGAATTCACAGAAGATGGTGGCAAAAGTTGAAATGTAAAAGAAGATTGAATCAAGGGCCATTGTTCTCAGGGAATGAAGAAGAGATGTTCAGGGAATGAAGATGAAATGTCCAGGACAGAATGTTTATGTGGGCAGGATGACATGAGCTTTAAAGGAAAATGTTCTTTTCCAACAATTTTAGAGGATAGATGTTTACAAAAGCAGCAGAGAACTTTGCTTCCTGACCCTGAAGACTTTTGGGTATGAGGAAGTAACCACAATGAAAAGTCTGCAGAGGATGATTTCTCCCCAGGGAAAAATTAGATCTCAAGTAAAACAAGGTGTTGGGGGCTTTGAGAAGAAACTAAAGTTCTGGAGGAGTTTATCATAGGTTAGAAGTACCAAAAGGCATCCTGGAAAGATGGAAGTTTATGTTAGTACAGAGAATAACAGAATGAATGTTAAAAGAGATGGCCAGTATCAGGGATTTGCTTTCATTTATATTATACCAAAATGTCATTGGTATTTTGATAGGGATTACATTGAATTTGCAGATTGCTTTCAATAGTATGGTCATTTTAATGATATTAATCCTTAACAGTCCATGCGCATGGTATATCCTTCCATTTATTCGTGTCCTCTGCAGTTTTTTGTTTTTTTTTTTAATATATATATCTTTATTGATTTCAGAGAGGAAAGGAGAGGGAGAGAGAGAGATGGAAATATCAATGATGAGAGTCATTGATCGGCTGCCTCCTGCACGCCCCCCACTGGGGACCAAGCCTGCAACCTGGGCATGTACCCTGACCGGGAATTGAACCCTGATCAATGCTCAACCGCTGAGCCATTCCCAGCTGGGCTGCAGTTTCTTTTTTTAGTGTCTTATACTTTTCAGAGTATAGGTATTTCACCTCCTTAGTTAAATTTATCATTAGGTATTTTATTCTTTTTGATACAACTGTAAATGGGATTGTTTCTTAATTTCTTCTTCTGATTGTTCATTATTAGCATATAGGAATGTGATGGATTTATTTATATTAATTTTTTCTTCTGCTACTTTACCGAATTCTTTTGTTAATTCTATTACATTTTTATGGATTTTTTAAGGTTTTCTATGTAGTATCATGTCATTCGCAAATAGTGACAGTTTTATTTCTTCCTTTCCAATTTGGATGCCTTTTAT